CAAAATTTTCCAAACACATTTACAAATATTAATATTGTACAAGTAGGGAAGTATACCTGGCTGACAAGATGTCAATGAGTTCTTTCCTATTTAGCACTCGCTGCTGGTTATTTTTGTATTTGGGATCATGGCTGATTTCAGACAAATTCAGGATCTACATGAAATAGAAAAAATGCATTCAGTAGCCTATTAAGCCTATTCAATCACAGAGGTTTGTGAGACTTGATCAGCAGAAAAGATTCAGAGTCTGAGCATTCTAATAAATAAAACCCACACAATTTGCTTATTTCCTGAATTATCCAGCTTCTTCCTTTTCTTCTGCACACACTTTATTTAATATAGTCTCTATTATTTGTCCACTATACCAATGCTGAGAGTAAAGTAATCGTGTCCTTCATTGAAAATGTCTCAGGAAAGGACAATTCCTTTGGGATTTGTGCCTGCACTTGGCCCTTTCTGAGATCATGATTCTTATGAATAATCTGAGGTCCAATCAGTGCTAGTCCAAGACACTAGCATTCTCCTTTCAGGCAAAGGTGTAGCCAGAAAAATGACCTCAAATTCAGAGCAGGTAATAATCTATATAAATAAAAATGTAATGTTAGTTTGTGGGATTAACATAACTCAAAAACCACTGGACAAATTGACACGAAATTTGGACACAATACACCTAACAGTCCAACGAGTGTCCATCACCCCTAAACACACAACCCCAGCGGAACAGACTTTAAAAAAACCCCAAAATACACCATATATACATATACACATGGACTCTCTCTCTCACACACACACACATACACACACACACACACACACATACATATATACATATATACATATATACATATATATGCCCAAACACACACAAATATACACATATACACACATACATATACATACACACATATATACATATACACATGCACGCACAAATATACATATATACACATGCATACATATACACATGCACACACACAATCACACATACATATATATATATATATATATATACACACATGAACATATATGTACATATACACATACACACAAATATGCATATAAACAAGCACACACATATACACAATATGCATTTACACAAATACACAATTATATACACACATATATGCACACACACATATATACCCACATATACACAAATATATAGACACAAACACATATACACAGACTGGGCCACAGCAATGCGTGACAGGGGATGACTAGTAATAGGTAAGAAGGTTAGTGGTCCATGGTGACTCTTTCTCCAGAAAGTTCAGGTCAGGAGCTTCACACTACCCAAAAATGGGATTGTTTGCAAAATGTCATAGTTTGACTTGGGGCCTCATCACAAAGATCAGGTAAAGCATCCCACCTTGCCTGGCCCCGTACGCAGCTCCCTCTCAACAACACTAACCACATCATGATGTTGTGTGATAGCTGGCGTGAGGCTCTGTCCAATAGACAGGTTGGAGGCATCCTAGGACACTCATTTAGGTAAATATGATGAGGTCATTGTTCTCACCTTCAGTGGCCTACTAGTGGATAAGCTCCATCCAATCTAGCTGGCCAGATACCACCTGAGCAATTTTCTATTCCTCTTTACACATTGTTTCTCTAACATGCAATCTACGTTCGCATTCCAAAAAACACATGCAAAATTTTACTCATATATTGCTTTTTCACTCCATTTTTAAAAGCCAAGGAAAACAGAATGATATTAAAAATATTAACAATAGCACTTATGGCTATCCCATGAATTTCATAGGGTTTGCTTAGGAAAGAAATACTTAGAAGTGGTTTTGCTAAAGCTCCAAGTATTTCTTGGAAATCTTCCATCCAAGTACTAACTAGGACGCATCTTGCATGGCTTCCCAGATCAGATAAAATCTGGTGCCTTTGGGGTATTTTGCTCCAAAATGTGCAAACATCCATATACAAAGAATAAACCTATCTGAAACCCAGAACTAATATTGTACAAAAGGAATTTTTAAAATGATGACAAACAATTTTGGTATTGGTTTTTTAAAAACACAAATGTTGTACTGCCAGACGACATATATTGAGTGATCTGTAAGAAGTTGCAACATGTCCCATAATTTTCTATTACATGAGAATCAACATCATCTTAATTAATCTATATTGCTCATGGAACAGGCTATCTCATATATATGTACACAGCATTCTGATCTTTCACCCAATGAATTATTAATTACATTCCATTACCTTGCAAACAGTGGCAAATTGATGATCATTTCCAGCTCCCACCACAATATAGCCATCTTTTGTTTTGAAACCCTAAAAAACAGTAAGAAACCATTCATTTTGATACAATTTTCACAATCCTCTTCTCTCATCCCACCAAACATGATTCAGTGTTACTTTCTCTCAAAATTAATGTATTCATATGCTAAAAAATGTTGAAAACAAATCTTCAAAAGAGGCAGCAGGAGGCTTTAGCTGAAGAACCTGCATTGAGATGGAATTGGACTTAATGGCCCATGGGACTCATTCCAACTATATTCAAAAAAAGCAAGCTCAAAATATAAATTAACCTGGACTTCCAAATGTTTTGTCACAAGAAATCATTGAACAAGTAAATCTTCTCCTTGATTTACAGTTTGCAGGTATACACATACTCATCTTAAATCGATTTGTCATATGGTAGGACATTTACCTGGCATTGTCAGATTGCTGTCATGATTTAACTAAAAAATCACACATTTGCCTAAAATTTGGGTCAAAAAATGTGGGACCGGAAAATGAACGACAGCCAATGGAGCTCCTTAAACAGGTTGTAGTTTTGGGAGGCTATATGGCCATGTTCTAGAGGCATTCTCTCCTGACGTTTCACCTGCTTGCCATAGATGCAGGCAAACATCAGGAGAGAATACTTCTAGAACAGTGGTTCTCAACCTGTGGATCCCCAGGTGTTTTGGCCTACAACTCCCATAAATCCCAGCCAGTTTACCAGCTGGTAGGATTTCTGGGAGTTGAAGGCCAAAACAACTAGGGACCCACGGGTTGAGAACCACTGCTCTAGAACATGGGCATATAACCCAAAAAAAAAAAAACCTACAACAACCCAATGTTTCCCATGGTTTACAGATATGTTTATTTTAACCTGATGTGGTCAAACACGTTTGCAGGGCTTTGACACATTACAAAAGCATGCTAGATTTGTTTAGCAGAAAGGGAAGTGGTATCAGTGGATACAATGAGCAAGACATCCCTCTTTACATACTGCCTTCAACATTGCCTCTTAAAAAAGAAGCTCAGTTCCTGCTTCCAGGAAACCATAGCCAAGACATACTCAAAACAAACATAGCTTTTCAACCTTCGATCAATTCTGCCTCACAGCACATGCTTACAGTCATTAAACACAAAATGCTGGAATATACATCGAGATAAGGCTTCTGTCCAGTCTTTGCAACATCCTTGATGATCCCATTAAGGCAAATGCATGCACAATTGTGTGTCTATTGTCAATTATTACTTTGCAAATGCAGAGCAGACCACACAGCAGCATCCGACTTATGTTCACACTCTATAGTGCTGGAGTCACTATACATTTAAGGACCCAGTCATTAATGTTTTTGCTTCACTGGCTTTGGGGCATGTGTGGGAAAAAGGATGAAATGCTAGAATGTAATTAGAAAAACCCAACAGCCATGTCCTCTTTAGTCAATAGTAGTATCCGAATAAATGCAGCAGTGTCTATCAGCATGAAATTTACCCATTTCTGCAGCAAAGCAGCAATTCCACAATACAAAAACAGCTGATAATTTGCTAGGCATTGTTGCTGATAAAGCAGAAACTTTCAACTATTATTAGCACAGCAAGGCCAACACTGGAGAATGCCAACAACGGTTTCATTCATGGCCTTTGGATGTACACACACACTGCAGGTTACTACAGGTTACTGCTCGGTCACAGAAAGCTCCACTATCCTATGATACAAAGAAGATGGAGGGCAAAGTGCAGACAGATTTTAATGAGATTTTGTTTTGATAAACTGCTGCCCATTGCAGTGACTCAGTTTACATTAGCGCAATAACATTAATTTCATATGAGGCAAAAGTCTTTCTGTGTGTGGGACTTTTGTCTGCAGAGAATGAACATTTATGATAGGAGATCCAGGAACATGACATAAATTACATGCAAAATAGTACACAACGTTGGTGTCCTGAACTCTGGAGCTAAAGACAAAAGGCAACAGACCAGGAAATAATTGCAGAGCTTGTTAGGAGGAGATGAAAGATGTATCGTCCCCAAACACTGTTCTGCAAATGACTAGAAAGACTCTGGGGGTTTGGTTGAAACATTCCAAAGAAGAAGTATGTAAATAAATGCAGAACAATAAACAAAAGAAACTGCCTAATGAGGACTTGGGGATGTGGCCAACTCTGATCAATACTATGTGCCATAGCAGAATGGAAGCTGGTAAATTCCTAGCCATTGGAATCTTCCTTGTCCAAAAGTTAAGGTAGAAATCAAATCAATAAATGTATAAAGTGTTTGAGAATACTTATCAGCATCATTATCAAATTATAGTAAGAGCTGTGCTCCAAAACTAGTTGCTCAGGCAGGTTTTGGAAGAGGATATTCCTTTACATTTTTCAAACACATTTTGGATACAGTGTCACAATGAGAGACTTTTCATCAGAGGAAAGTTTCCACAGAGAGACTGTAAGGGTGGTTTTATATATATAATCCAGTTTGGAAGTGGAATATAATTGACCAGTTCCACTCCTACACAAAGAAGTGTAGGAACTGGTTCGAGACTGGAACAGCGGACACAGTATCCGCTGATTGCAGATCAGAACCAAAACCAGGAACTGCAGTATCTGTGGCTAGACAGTTGCTGGAAAATCCTTTTTCTCACTTAACCAGTCCACTGAGCTATACTAATGGTTATTTTAGACCAGGGGTCCTCAAACTACGGCCCGGGGGCTGGATACGGCCCTCCAAGGTCATTTACCTGGCCCTCACTCAGGGTCAAGCTAAGTCTGAAACTATTTGAAAGCACACAACAACAACAACAACAACAACAACAACAACAATAACGATCCTATCTCATCAGCCAAAAGCAGGCCCACACTTCCCATTGAAATACTAATAGGTTTATATTTGTTAACATTGTTCTTCACTTTAATTATTATATTGTGTATAAGGTATTAGCAGTGTGCATAGGAATTCATTCATATTTTTTTTCAAATTATAATCTGGCCCTCCAACAGTTTGAGGGACTGTGACCTGGCCCTCTGTTTAAAAAGTTTGTGGACCTCTGTTTTAGACTTTCTGGTGAGTTTTTTTTTCCACACAGTTTCTGGTTTACAAGATGCTGCAGAACTATTTGTGGGAGGGGGTTCTTTGGACACTCTGCCCTTGAGTTAGCATTATAACTACATTATTATGTTTCACACAACCATGAAGCCAACAGGAAACTGAAAGTCACCTGGGAAGGTCAAGAGCTTGAACACTGTTTCCATCCTAAATATCTCGGTGTCACCTTAGATCAAACACTAGCATATAGGAAACACTGCTTGAACACCAAGCACAAAGTAGCTGCATGCAATAACATCCTGTGGAAACTTACTGGCAGCACATGGGGTGCAGACCCAACATTAGTAAGAACATCAGCCCTGGCCTTGGCTTACTGAACTGCCGAGTATGCTTGCCTTGTTTGGCATAGGTTTGCCCATGCAAAGCAGGTGAACATAGCATTGAATGAAACATGCAGAATAATCACAGGATGTCTTGAACCTACACCTGTTGATAAACTCTACAAGCAAGTTGGCATTGCCCCCCCCCCCCGATGTGCGACATAAAGTTGCTGCTAAATGTGAGAGAAATAAGTTTGAACACTGTGAAAGCCATCCACTATATGGCTACCAGCCTCCTCCCAGTAGAATCAAATCAAGGAAAAGCTTTATGAGAACTATCACTCCTCTTGGCATCCCCCCAGCAACAGCAAGGGTATCCTGGGCAGCTAGACCAGGAAATCCCAACTGGATTGCCCCTGCAAGGGTCTTCCTCCAGGGGCAAACCAAGTATGGGCAACTTGGAAGTCCCTGAACAGACTCAGAAGAGGAGTCGGCAGATCAAACGACAACCTAGCAAAACGGCACTACCTAAAAGAATCCCACACCTTATGTGACTGTGGAGCAGAACAGACATCTCCACATCTGTATGCATGTCCACTATGCCCTTCCTCATGTACAGAGGAAGAATTGTTGGAGGCTACAGGCAATGCCATTGCTGTTGCCCATTTCTGGTCAAAAGATATTTAGCCAATAGCCACCTGTGCTCCTTCTATTTTTATAGGTTTTATACCAATTTATGCAATGCTTTTGATACAAAATAAATAAATGTTTGTGTAAAACTGTGTAGGTGTATGGCTACCTTTTGTTTGATAGTGGCCCACTGTTGAAGCACAGCTACTCATAGCAGATCACTGGGATCTTCATTTGTCACTTCTGCCCCAGTATCTTAAACTCCCAAAACCAAAAGACTCTTCTAACTGGCAACCAGCCAACATCATCAATGGAGCATTCTCAGCATCTTGCAGGAAGATTTCATTATAAAGAAAGGTTTCTGTCCAGGGCACAGATAACTCATAACATTTAAAAGAAATCTGCTTATGTTGCTGAAAACAAGTTAACACTTATAAATGATGTGCTATTAATAGAATGGTGCAACATGGATTTTTTTAAGCAGGCAAGGTACAGAAAAACATTTTATTCAAAAGTTAGTAAAAACGACCTTTGAAAATGAATCTTGAGGTTGACTTCATAGCATGAGAGTTTAAAGTATAATTTTAAAAACCTGTTCATCTGTGCATTTAAAATATTGGTTGCAACTGAATTATGTCTGCCTATGCAAAAACCATCTTTAACCACAACAAGGAAGGGAACATATGTTCATCCAGATGCTTCTGGATTACAAATGCCATCATCCTTTTAATGTTGGGGAGGGCTGATGGAGGTCCAGTGCACAACATTTAGCAGGCTATATGTTCCTCCATCTCTACCCCTCATAAGATTTATTTATTTATTTTCTGGTATTTATATCTCGTCTCTTCTCTACCCTAAAAGGGGGACTCAAGACGGCTTACATACACAGCAATTCGATGCCATTACATGAACAATTAATACAATAACCATTAAACAAACCAGCAAACCATTAAGATACATAAAATACATAAGCCATTAATTAAACAATATAAAAACATTAGTTACCAAATAGAATCGTATCCTCATGTAAATCACCTTTCCAATCCATTTCCACTAAAGTGC